TTTTGCATACCTCAAATGTCAAATGTCAAATGTCAAAAAAAAAAAAAAAAAAACTCTTGACTTTTGAGAATTTTGTACAAAAAAGAAATGTGTGCCAGATAAGGTAGAAAAAATTCCCTTTATGGTTTTTGTGGGACCAAGATAAGAATGTGAGGCTATAAGGGAGGGGGGAAAAGGAAAAAAAATTGATATTGGTATCACGAAAATGGCTGTGTACAGGGAGCATAGTGTAGTGGCTATCACGCTTCATTTGCATTTGTGTTTCTCTATAACGGTTTCATCAGCGCATCTTGAAGAGGTCCCGGGTTCAATCCCCGGTGCTTCCATTTTTGATGTTTTCCAGCTGCTCATTGGACCCACTCTTCCCTGTAACACCCAATGGGGAGGGGGGGGGGAGGGCACTACTGATGCTTTTCTGGTCCGGGTTTTGTAAGATCGAACACTTATTCTTGTTTTTGACCTGTAAGACGGTTGGAAAGGAGTCAGCTGATCGATGGGGAAAAGCCAGTGTTCTTGAGCTTTTTGGAGATGCTGGGTTGGCTTTAGGGAAGGCAGTTTGTTGTCAAGAAGGATGGAGTCATCCAATTTAGTTTTACGTCACTTCTTTATTTTCCACAATCTGAGGTGTAGGAGAGCATTATGTGTGTTTCTGTGTGAAATTGAACTTCCTTTTGAATGAGGTTAACGTTTCTGGTAAATTCTCAGTCTAATCCTGTTGGGAAGGACCACTTCAATCACTTACTTCAGTACGAATACCTATCAAGTCAACAGAGTGGTACACTTTTGGTTCAAAATATTCCAGCTTTTACAGCCTTCTTCAAGTTCAGCAGTTTTTTCAGTTTTTGGAGGATTTCTGTAATTTTTGATGACATTAACACCGTTTTTTTTTTTTTTTTTTTTGGAGACGTTGGCCCCCTGGCTTAATCCCCCCCAATTGATTGGAAAGGTCGAGTATGCCCATGCCCCATAAGGCCTTGTAGGCACTTCGAAGCCAGGTGTGACGGGTAGAAGATATTCCGAGGAAAAGGTGGTGACAGTGGGCCTTGGAGGAAAGTGATGACATGCATGTTCTTTTTAGCATAATTCTATCTTCGGTGGTGGCTGGAGGGGGTAGGAATGGTGACGTTAGAGGTTGGATTGCACCTTAGAGGTATTTGTGCCTAAAAACAGAAGGTTAGTTTGCTTTCCGAGGCTAGAGGTAATTCAATTGAGGGGAGGGGTAGATGCCTGGTCCAGTATATTTTTGTACAACTTTTGATTTCATTGAGGAATGATTGAACGAAAGGAGAGGCAAGAGGGTAGAAAGTTGCTGTATGTAGTGACTCCGATCGGCCAGGATTTGATGAAAGGTCACAGATGCTTTCCTTGGTATTTATTTACATGTAATCCATTCAAGTCAAGGAACCCAAGATAAGACGCATTTTTCTTTTTCTTTTTCTTTTTTTTTTTCCGTGCTTCGGAGTGGGATTGTCTACAGTTGGCAAACTCATTCAAGTTCAAGACAAAGAGCTACCACCACCGAAAGCTGGTATTAAAAGGTCAGATTCGGTCTTGACTCCCAACTGCCCAAGTTAGACAGAGTCAATGAGGTGACAAGGAAATCCCCAAAATCAGGACTCCTTGCCCCTTTCCAGCTTATCCGAGGGCTCACACGATGAAGGTTTTGGTTGGTTTTGGTCACTTTAACTTGGAACTTTTCTCAAAGCTCTTCAGAAAGAGCCCAAGCGAAGATCCCTTCATAGCCTAACCCACGGTTATAAGGAAACGGAAGAAAGCTTGGTCCATAAGTTTCTCAGTGAACCTCTTCATAAGTTTTTGATCTCTTCAAGATTCTTTCTCATCAGCTCTTTTTTTAACTTTAGTCCAATTCCTTCTCGCTGTCCGACCTGGGGCCAAGCCTTTGAGATTTCAACCAGTTTCAATTTCTTTCGGATCAATTCATTCAGCTGTACGAGTTTTTCCATACTCTGGACCAAGGACCCAAATTTGGACGGCCTGAAATTTTTATCATTCCAGCCAATCTTTTTTTTTTCCATTTATTCTTACATTTAAGTACCTTAACATCTTGTCAGGTTGGAATACCTACGCCTAATGCCTTTGGATGAAAAGTATGCTTTGGATCTTATCAACAACCTCCCGACGGATGGTAATCCATACATCATAATAGCGGATTTCATCAAGTCAGCTTTAGAGGTACGTAGCCTGAAGTTTGGCTACTGTTTAGCTCAGAGTTTTGAAAGCTTGAATCCTCTAGATTTCTTATTCTTTTCATCTGTTCAGCTTCCTTCTACTCCTATCTGGGCAAATCGATTGGAGCTATGCATCTTGGTCGCGTTCTTTGTGTGAGTTGGATTGGATCACTATAAGCACTTTTTTTTACGGTCCTATCGCGTATCCCAATACCGTTTGGTTGTACATTTGTTTGTTTGTTTACTGATCATCTTGACGCGCAGAATGTTCCTTCAATCTTGTCATTTACTCTACGTTCGTTTTCAGACAAGGGCATTTCGTTCACCCACTTTCAATTCGCGTGAGTATCTATCAAGTTTCGGATTCGCAGCTTGATTTTCAATGCATCGTGAGATAGTCATCCCCAGCTTACCGCGCGTTGATCATTCCAGTCGGTTTACTTGATATCGATGTAACCAATGCTGCCGCGGTTGGATATATCTTATATACCCTGCGTGAGTGCTGGTTATGAACAACACCGTCGGCCGTCACTCTGACTATGATGAATCTCGATCATGGACTACTGTTGAGCTCTAGTGGTGATTTTGGACGTGATCCTGCGTACTGCCACTCTAGCCGGTCACCTTGACCAATCTGGGCAAATTATCCTATGTGGTTGTAACTTTATCATCATCCTCGAGTCCTCGTGGTAAGTGTGTCTCTTGACAAGTCAAACAGTGTTAGAAATGCTGATCAGATTTTTTTTTTTTTTTTTTCATGTCAAAGTGGTGAGCTGTCAACTGCGATCGAGTACCGTTAGCTTTTGCACTTACCTGATACTTTTCATACTTTCAAAAGCCTATATATGGGTCTGTACTTGTCAATGTGCCTTGCTCAAGTGGGATTCAGCACCAGGGGATCGAAGGATCGGAAAAACGCAGATGCCTTTGATTGTTCGACGGGCAATTAACATCGTGGGGTTGTGTATCACCCTTGTACCTATTCGTGAGCACTAAAGAATTTTGTTGTATGATAAAAGTTCAGATGGAAGGTTTTAAAAGATCTTTAATCGAATATATGAACTTTTTTAGCTGTCATCTTATGGGCCTACATTCAGGCGAATTACGAATACCTTATCATCAAGCAAATCCTACTTCCCATTAGGGACGACTTACTGGCTGCCGCGCCGCTGTACTCCCCCCAGACATTCAATCTATCCCAATTGTTCCTCGTTTTGGTCCCCGGGTTTCGGTATCGTCCTCACTACGTGAGTACCTTTCGAGAGTCAATCTAAATCTTTGGCGAAATTGAGAAACACGTTGTCCAAGGTGATGATAAGAATAATCATAAATCCTTGTAGGATTTGATAGCTTACTACGTTCGCGCTGGTAATATTTTCTACACGGTCTTTGCCACATTTTTGTGTGTGGTGAGCGAGGTTCCTTATGATGATCTAAATCGGAAAAGTTCACATGCTGAGCCTACCCATAAGGGATAGATTTATATTCCAATGTTGATATTCTCTTTGAGATGTCTGTCTCGGCGCGCATTGTGGGCAACGAGACAAGAATCTACTCAACCCAAGTTCAATGAAGAGTCACAAAAACGAATCAGATCAGAAATTGAAAGAGTTCGTAAACAGCGCCACAAGTTGATCTATCACGCAGCCATTACCTACGCGACGATTCTTGTACCCATTCTTGTGGTGACTTGGGAGGTCAGTCATCATGATTTCTTTTATAGGTTTGTGTCATATCAGCAGTAGTTCTCGTGTACTCACTATTTTTTAAAAAAAAACACCTTATTTATTCAGTTGAGCTGCTCTAGCGATAATTTCCTGGTGGACAGGGTTTGGTGGATGGGAACCCGACTGGTAAGCTGGATGTGATAACTTGTAGTCATTTGACAGCTAACAAATTCAGTTTTACTCTAAGGGTCTTCATGGCTCGCAGGCCATCCTGGGTAACTTGTAAGTAGTTACGACTTGGTCTAAGAACTGTTTGAAATAGATTGAGATAATTTTATATTGATAAGGATTGATCGAGTGTAGTTGTATGTTTATCTTGAATCGAAATGCGAGAATGTTGCTACGAATTTATCGGCACCATTTAATTTCGACCGATGTCCTACTCAGTCTGAAGTCCGGAAAGGTACATGAACCACATCATTTTCAAAAAAAACTTGATTTGGAAACTCCGATTCGATTATCACTCTTACTTGGGTACTCAGCCAATGAACCGTTTGAGGTGATCCCCGGTGGTCAAAGGTCCTTTTCGGGACTCATCGATCGCTCAACCCAAAGTACGCCGCATGCGCACATTCCATCTCTTCATCGGACGACGACTGAGAATAGCGCACATCCGACCGGACGAACGAGTCGTTCGACTTCTGTTTCATTTCATCTACCTTCGAACGCTGACAAGGACCCAAAATTAGCTAACTTGCAACTAGGACGAAGCCAAGAAGGCAGCATTGATGAAGCAACCCTCGTCCCTGGTTTCAGGGAGTCCATCAATTTTCCCGATCTAACAAGACCTTGGATTTGGTAATTCGATTGGGAAGACATCATCTCGATTCTGATCCAACTTGGGGAATCATCAACATGAATGCTTTTTTTTTTTTTTTTTCATTTTTTTTTTCAGGACTGAGGGAAAAGCGAACACATCATTAAAACAGATTAGTGAACCAACCCTACCTGATCCTATCCAACTATAGTAGTCTTATACGGTCCTTACATAACTCTTCTTGATGAGCCTATCTCATAATATCATTAATGATTGTACCGATTTATTCATAAACATTAGATCTCGCTCAACTCCTAACCTGATCTGCGTCTGTCATGATATTGTTGAAGAGAGAATGTATATTGTATTCGAGCGCGCTGTAGTCGATTTTACAAATGAAAGATTTAAAGCCCAACATACACACTCTCCTTCAAGCTTCATTCATAGTTCTTCTACGGAAGCAAAGTGAATAAAAGGAGGTGCTTATGGCGCTGATGGTAGCTCATGAGATTTTTGTAAGTGAAATCTTGAGGGTCAGTAATCTGAAAACGTGAGAGTTAGTCAAGTTCTTCCCCCTGAAGGTGGTCCATCCTCAGAACCAGATCCAATCCCATCATCAGATCATCATGGTCCAGATAGAAAAAAAGTTGACA